GGAGAGGATGGGGAGTGGAGCGAGGAGGGGGAAAGAGGATGAGGAGAGGGAGGACAACGAGGGGGAGGAGGAGAGCGAACGGAATTGGGCAGCGGGAGAAGGATGAGGAGTACGAGAATGAAATGGGGGAGGAGAAGTGGAGTGTGAGTGTATATGGGTGTGCGCCTGAGTGTGAGTGTGTATGAGCTTAAGCTTATATGAATGTGAGTGGTCTGTTTGTGAATGGGTCTGTGTGCGTCGATGCCCATCCAGCAACGATGCCCGGGCGAATGATCTTGATCAGGGAGAGAATGGGGAGGGGAGCGATGAGGGGTAAAGAGGATGAGGAGAAGGAGGAAAACGAGGGGGAGGAGGAGAGCGAACGGAATTGGGTAGCGGGAGGAGGATGAGGAGTACGAAAGTGAGAGGGCGGAGGAGAAGTGGAGTGTGAGTGTATATGAGTGTCCGCCTGAGTGTGACTGTGTATGACCTTAAGCTTCTAGGAGTGTGAGTGGTATGTGTGTGAATAGGTCTGTGTGCTATTGCGTTTGATTGTGCTTGAGTCTGGGTGTGAGTGAGTCTGAGTGCGGATGAATCTGAGTAGGAGATATGAGTGAGTGCGAGTGTGGGGGAGTCTGAGTGTGAGTGCAGGTCGGGCCTTGCATCTAGAGTTTGAGTGCGTCCCGGACCGAGTTCCAGCGGTCCCGGGGCCCGAAAACAGCTTCCAGCTGGACTTGCCGGACTCGCCGGACTCACCGGACTCACTGGACCCACCGGCGCCAGCGGAGGAAGCCGGTCGACCCACCGGACTCGCCGGACTCACCGGACTCCCCGGACCCGCCGGACTCACCGCACTCGCCAGACCCACCGGACCCACCAGATCCGCCAGCAGCGCCGGATCCGGCCGGGCCCACCGGACTGGAGCAGCAGGGTGCACCATCCTCCGCGAGGGCAAAGGCCGCGTCAGCAGGGTCGCCCTCTCTCTCTCCCTAGACCCCCTCGAGGTATGAAAAAATCACGACGGGAGGTTTTTCATTGTTTTTGGCCTTTGGGGGCCCTTACCGGCCCTCGGGACCGTCAAAAAACGACTCAGGACGAAAAACCGGTCCCGGGGCATGGGTCGAGACCTCGGGGGGTCGACGTCATGAAAAAAACATGACGTCGGGGGTCTGGGTCTAGCGTCTCGGCGAGCGGCCAGAAAGTGAAGTCGCTCCGCCCGGAGTCGTTGGACTCGCTGCGGAACGGGGGGACGGCCAGCGAAGTGCTTCTGAGCCGCGGTAGCCAACTCTTCCATCCAGCGGTCCCAGGCTTCATCAGGCGCCTTCCCGTCGTGCAGCGCGCGAAAGTAGCAAGGATGTTGTGCGAAGGCCTCCTCGAGCTCTCTGGCGATGGCAGCCGCTCCAGTGCCATGTTGCAGCGCCTGACCCAGCCGATGAGAATCCCAAACCGTCCGAGGACGTAGTAGGAGGCGCCTGCAGCGTATAGATGACCTGTGTCAGGAGCGGGACGTGGCCCTGGGGGCCAGGGCGAGGTATCAACTTGAAGCGCAGGTTGGCACTCTTGAGTGGGGGCGCCCGCCGCGCTGAGCGCGCCTGCCACGAGAAGACCGCAGTGTGGTCGATGAAGGTGGCGCTACGCACACCGTGGAAGGTCGGCCCCACGTCGGAGTCGCTGGTGACCACCCTGAGCGCAAAGCGTTCGAGCAGCTCCAGCATCTTGTCGGCCGCATAGTATCCCAGCGCCGCGGAGTCCACCTGCTCGAAGATCTGCGGGCCTCGCTGACGAAGGCCGAACCCGTCATTCAGGTCGAAGCCGAAAAGGAGAGCAAACCGCCCTCGCGCACAGGTGAGGGTCTTCTCGACCCAATCGCAGATGGCGTCCACGGTGGCCCTGTACTACTGGTGCATGGCGGGTGTCCCCGCAGGCGCTGACTCCTTGGCCAATCGACGACTCGACGGCCTCGGAGGGAAGTAGGCCATCGGCACCATAATGTCAAATCTTCCGCTGCGCACGCGCGTGAGGGAACACACGCCCTTTCAGCTGCGCTGGCACGTGTGGGGTGTCCACGAGTTGCGGAGTCCGAAACGCACGCGTGCGAGGCATACTAGTGAACCCGCAACTCTTGTTCACGTGGGGGCTGTGACTCCAGCCCGATCGAAGACCAGTATGGAAAGGCACCGACGAACGAATAGTGTCAACATCTCCTTCCAGTGCCATTCAAACAAATCACATCAACGGAGCGAAATTCAGCAGATATATGGTCGAGGGTTTGGCCCCCCCCCCATGCTAATGCCATGCCATCGGCCCCCCCCCCCGCGCGATGCCCCTCCCCCCCCCTGTGGGCGTGGGCGTGGCGTGGTGGCTCCCCCCCCCCTGTGGATGTGGTGTGGGTGTGGTGTGTTGCTGTGGGTGTGTGCGGGGTGACGCCATGGTCCTCCTCCCCCCCTCCCTCCCCCCTGTGGGTGCGGTGTGTTTGCGGCGTGTGGCTGGGATTGCCGTCGTGTTGACAGCTCCGGTGCTCGACGTCGCCGCCGCCGCCGCTGGTGGTGCCGTCGACGTCGTCGTCGTCGTCGTCGTCGTCGACGTCGTCGTCGTCGTCGTCGTCGTCGTCGTCGTCGTCGTCGTCGTCGTCGTCATCGCCGTCGTCGTCGTCCTCCTCCTCCTCCTCCTCCTCGTCCTCCTCCTCGTCCTCCTTCTCGTCCTCCTCCTCCTCCTCCTCCTCCTCCCCATCTCATCGGGGGGGGGGCCCGAGGACCCTGGGACCCATCCCATCTGGGGGGGGGGGCCGTGGGCCCTGAGCCCGCGATCATATATCACAAACCCGTTCCTCCGAGCTTGCGTTCTGAGCGTTCCAGTGAACAAAATTCATCATAAAATCCAGAAGCTCCAGAGCCGTCCGACACACCAGAACATCGGAAGCAGCAGCGCCGCCAGGAGTCGCCGCCACCACCGCGGGAGGGCGCGCCATGCAGGGCGCGGGTTATGAATGTGCATCCTTCTGCGCAGCCGCCCCTGGATCACCGACCTCGGGCAGGGGGGGTGCTAGGAGGAGGAGGACGAGGAGGAGGAGGAGGAGGAGGAGGACGAGGAGGAGGAGGAGGACGAGGAGGAGGTGGAGGAGGCGGAGGAGGAAAAGGAGGAGGACGAGGAGGAAGAGGAGGAGAAGGAGGAGAAGGTGGAGGAGGAGGAGGAGGAGAGGGCAGAGGGGGAGGAAGAGGAGGAAGAGGAGGAGGGGGAGGAAGCGGCGGCGGCGGCGGGAGGATGAGGATGAGGAAGAATAATAATATTAATAAGAAAACACAATTGAACACTGCTACTATTACTACTACTACTTCTACTACTACCACTACTGCTACTACTACGACGGCGATTACTACTACTACTACTACTACTACTACAACTACTACTACTACTACTACTACTACTACTACTACTACTACTACTGCTGCTGCTATTACTACTACTAATAATAATGCTAGTACGAATACAAAGAACAATACTACTTGTAATACTAATAATACTCTTTATAGTTCAAACTAATAATAGTACTGCTAATGCTACTCGTAATACCAATACTACTAATACTACGAATGAGACTACTATTCATAACAATAATAATACCAACACTGCTTTTACTACTAAGAATTGTACGAATACTTTTTAATAATAGTAACAGTAATATCAATACACACATTGATAATAACATTATTGCGACTAGTACTACTAATACTATCAACAATGATAACACTACTGCTACTCGTATTGCCATTACTACGGATCACAATACTGATAATAGTTCTACTAATACTACTACTACTAATACTTATATTACTAATACTTGTACTACTAATACACCAATAGTATTAGTAATCATACTCATACTAGTAATACCAATGCTACTACTACTACTACTACTACTACTAGTAACAATGATCATACTAAGAATTATAATAGTAGTATTTTTTATAGGAGTAATAATAATGCTAATCGTAATGATACTAGTAATAATAGTACTAAGAATAATAGGAATACTACTAATACTAGTAATAATACTACTGATGCTGCTACTGCTACTACTAATAATGATACCAATACTGCTAATATTACTACTATTAAGAATCATACTACTACTACTACTGCTAGTAAGAATATACTATTACTACTACTACTAATACTCATACTCATACTAGTAATACTGCTGCTGCTACTACTACTATGGATAATAGTAAAACTAGTAATAGTACTACTACTACTACTGCTGATAATCATACCAATACTATTACTAATAATAATACTAATGCTAATAATAAGAATGATGATGATGGTGATGATGATGATGATGATGATGATGATGATGATGATGATGATCCTGCTGCTGCTGATGATGATGATGATGATGATGATGGTCATGATGATGATGATGCTGATGATGCTGATGATGCTGATGATGATGAAGATGATGATGGTGGTGATGATGATGATGATCATAATGATACTATGATACCAATACTAATAATGCTGCTGCTGCTACTACTACTACTACTACTGCTACTACTACTACTACTACTACTACTACTACTACTACTACTACTACTACTACTACTACTAGCAAAAATCATATTATTAATCGTAGTACTAGTCGTAATAATACGAGCCATGAGAACAATAATGCGACTAAAAAGAAGAGAAGGGCACTCATACACATAAGCGGAAGAAAAGGATGAGGAGGAGGAGTAGGAGGAGGCAGAGGAGGGAGAGGAGGCAGCGGAGGAGAAAAGAGGAGGAGGAGTCGGAGGAGGAGGCGGCGGAGGAGGAGGAGGCAAAAGAGGAAGATGAGGCAGAGGAGAAGAGAATAATGGAGAAGGAGGCGGAGGAGGAGGAGGAGGAGGAGGCGGAGGATGAGGAGGAGGAGGAGGAGGAGGAGGAGGAGGAGGAGGGGGAGGAGGAGGAGGAGGCCCAGGAAAAGGAGGCGGAGGAGCGGGAGGGCAGTCGCCCTCGCGGCCGCGCGCCCCAGAGTGCAGGACGCCAACCTGTGCCCCGAGATGCAGAAGGCCATCCAGGCGCCCGTCGCGCTCGCCCGCGACCCCCCCCTTGGCGAGCGCAGGGCGCGGCCTCCGACCGGCCAAGAGTACGAGGGGGCACCGCTTCGCGCAGAGACGTCGGCGCTTCGCGCGCCGCGGCCTGGACTGGAGAGCTGATCCTGTGGGGTCGGCGCGACGGCGCGAAGACAGCCGCGCGTCGCGCATCGCGGGGCGCGGAGTTCGGTGGCCCAGGAGCATCCAGATCTCCGACGATGTGACTTTTCCAACCGACGTTTTCTCCTGGGCTTCGGCCTTTGGGGCTCGTCGTCGGGCCCTGGACCATCACAAAGGGATCCGGGACGCAAAGCTACCCCCTGGGCCGCGAACTGAAAGCAGCACATCAGAAGATGTCAGGGCATGTCGGCCCAGCGCTGCAGCCACACTTGCTGGGCCTGGCGCCCCTCCCTCATCGGCCATCCTTGCTCAGGCGAGGGGGCGAGGGTGGGGTCTTGCGGCGTGGCAGGGGGGGGCTTCTTAAGGAGGGAGGCCCTGAACTCGGTCCTCCAGGGAGAGGCTCGACAGGGAGAGGGAGGGCGGCGCCCAGGCAACCGACGGTGTGAGGCTGTCTTTGTGTCTGTGTGTCTGTGCGTGTGAGGAGGAGGAGGTGGAGGAGGAGGAGGAGGAGGCTCGAGGAGGAGGAGCAGGATCAGGAGGAGCAGGAGGAGCAGGAGAAGGAGGAGGAGGAGGAGCAGGAGGAGGAGGAGGAGGAGGAGGGAGTAGGAGGAGTAGGAGGCTGTTAGGACTCAGTGGGCCAGACGTGCAGCCCCCCCCCCGGGAGCCAGACTACGTGGTGCGTTCGTTCGTCTTTGCTGCCGCGGGTGACTTTGCTTCCTCTTCACGAGCTCCATTTCCTCATGCTCCTCCTGCTCCGCCGCCTCCTCCTCCTCCTCCTCCTCCTCCTCCTCCCTGTCTTCTTCGTGCCCATTCCCATTCCGTCTTCTCCTCCTCCCCCCGTCCTTCACCTCCACTCACCTCTTGCTTCTCTCCTCTCCCTCCCCTCGCAAGGTCGCGTCCAGTCCGTCGTGGTGAGGCCAGCGGCTACCCTGGAGGGCACATGCCCCCCCCCCCCTAGAGCGGCGAGAGTACATCTTCCGCGACTGTTAAGAACAGCCACAGCTCTGCAGGGAGACTCTTACGGTCTTTGCATTTGGGCTCCCCTCTTTGCACTGCGTTTCGTTCCGAGCACCCCGATAGGGCCTTGGGCCTTCGGCGAAGGTTCTCACGTGCTTGACTCCCGTTCTTGTGGCCATGCTTCGACTGTGTTCCTCCGTTTGCAGCTCCGTCGCGGGATTCTGGCTATCGGGCACTTCGCTCTGTGACCAATTGCGAGCCATACCCCTTCAAGTCCAATCGAAGCTGGGGTATCGGACTTCCCGATCGGGGGGATCACCTGGCTGCAGACAACACTCGAGTTCTACCCCCCAGCCAGCGTTTCAGACATCTGATCTGCGGTGGTAAGGCTCGCATGTGGCTGCCTAGTGGCACGGGTGGTGTCATGCGTACTCTGCTCGAAAGCTTCTTTGCGCGCTCTGCATCGCGCGCAAACCTGAGCGCGAGCTGTCTTTGCCTGTCCTCCGTTTTGCCTCCTTGCCATCCTTTTTGTTCTCTCCTCCTCATCCCGTTTCCCTCCCCTTCTCTGTCCATTGCCCCGCAGGTCTTCCACAATTTTTACAACGGCCGGACTCAGCATCGCCGCCTTCAGTGGATACATTCTTTGGGACAGGCCACAGTTGCAGCGAAGCTGAACAATCGCAGGCGGCACCCCCCCACCATGGTGAGGTGCATACGGGACGAGGGACGAGGGATGATGGAGGCGGGAGGAGGGGGAGGAGAAGGACCGTGATATTATCCCATCCTGCTTGGGGGAGGGAGGGAAGGTCAAGCAGAGCTGCCTTGGTACTGTCGCTCCTCCTCCTTTCTCATCCCTCCTCTTCCTCCCTCCTCCATCCGTTGTCCTCTCTGGCGCGTGATCGGGTATGGCGGGGGTAGGAAAGAAGTGGGGAAGAGGAGAAAGCTATTCGCATTCGTTTCCAACGAGTTGTGTTGGTCAGGATCGGCGTCAGTGTATTGTTTTTTTGGTTTCATGGTTTCGTTCGCAAACAACTAGGTACCGATACGCGCTTCTAGAAGGTAGCCATCCAATGGTAGTCAGAAGCCAGATCCAGCTTTGGGAGTGACGCGATCCACCCCCTTGCGACGAAAAGGACAGTGAATGCGGAGGAGGGGGTAGAGGTGGGAGGAGGAGGCGAATGTTGAGAGATGATGATGCTGCTGCTGATGATGATGATGATGATTGTATGATGTTGCCGTTGATGATGATGAGGATGATGCTGATGACGATGACGCTGATGCTGATAATGATGATGTTGATGCTGATGGTGACGATGCTGATGATGGCGATGCTGCTGCAACCGATGATGCTGATGATGATGAGGGTGACGATGACGATGATGATGATGCTGGTGAGGATGCTGCTGCTGATGATGATGATGCTGCTGCTGCTAATGATGATGATGGCGATGCTGCTGATGCTGCTGATGCTGCTGATGCTGCTGATGATGCTGTGCTGATGCTGCTGATGATGCTGATGCTGCTGATGATGATGATGCTGATGATGCTGCTGCTGCTGACGATGTTGATACTGATGCTGATGATGATGCTGATGTTGATGCTGCTGAGGATGATGCTGCTGCTGATGATGCTGCTGCTGCTGACGCCGATGATGTTGATGTTGCTGCTGCTGATGATGATGATGGTGGTGGTGGTGATGATGATGCTGCTGCTGATGATGGTGCTGTTGATGATGATGCTGGTGGTGGTGGTGGTGGGTGATGGTGATGATGATGAGGAGGAGCATTATAATGATTACGCTGCTGCCGCTGATGATGCGGATGCGGATGCGGATGCGGATGCGGATGCTGCTGATGATGATGATGATGCTGCTGATAATGCTGATACTGATGATGATGATGCTGATGATGATGATGATGATGATGATGATGATGACGCTACTGCTGATGATGACGGTGTTTTTGATGAGGATGTTGCTGATGATGATGCTGATGCTGACGTTGATGCTGCTGATGTTTGTGCTCCTCATGATGGTGATGACGATGATAGTGATGCTGCTGCTGATGATGATGCTGATGACGATGCTGCTGCTGCTGCTGATGATGATGATGATGGTGATGAGGAGGAGAAGGAGGAGGAGGAGGAGGATAAGAGGAGGAGGATAAGAGGAGGAGGATAAGAGGAGGAGGCAGAGCAGGAGGATGTGGAGGAGGAGATGAGGAGGAGGAGGAGGTTGGGGAGGAGCGGAGGAGAAGGAGGAAGAGGAGGAGGAGGCATTGGAGTAGGAGGTGGAGGAGGAGGAGGAGGAGGACGAGGAGGAGGAGGAGGAGGAGGAGTTGGACGAGCGGGGAGGATGAGGTGAAGGAGGAGGCAGTGGCAGGAGGAGGATGATTAGTGCAGACCCAAGTCTCCTCAACGATGTTGCAGTACACCCTGCCTCCAAGCTCCCTCTTCATAGACCCCTACAAAGAAGGTTCATTTCCGCTGGGGGACTCCGTGTCCAAACACCACTCTCAGGACTTCAACGCCACGTGTCAACCTGACTGTTCCGTCTTGGCGATCCTGAGCCGTGCCAGAATGTTCCTGGGACTTCAACGTTGCAAGGCGTTATTTCTGGTATGGTAGCAATGAGAACCACCGAACCTCTTTTCGAAGTTTATAAAACGAGTGTTTGCGGTGCTAAGGCGAGAGCCACATTTTGAAAAGGAACCGCCCTCAATCCGTGAAGCTCTTGCGTTTTTCAAACGAATGTGTGCGGCGCTCAGGCGAGAGCAACTTGTTGAAAACGATTCGCGTTCAATCCGTGAAAGTCTTGCAGCTTTTTAAAGCGAATGTACGCGGCGCTAAGGCGAGAGCCACATTTTGAAAACGAGCCGCCGCCCTCAATCCGTGAAACTCTTTAAAACATGACCCGCCCTCAACCCGTGAAGTTCTTGCAGTTTTAAACAACGAATTTGCGCGGCGCTAATGCGAGAGTCCCATTTTGGAAGCGACCCGGCCCATCGGTGAAATTGTTGCAAATTCTCAAGCCGCAGGACCATGAATGGTGGGGACGTCTCAGGCGAAACGCCTAAGAGGCACCCAAGCCAGTCGAGGATGCCCCCAAGAGGGTTCCAAGACGGCCCACGAGGGGGCCAAGACGGCCCACGAGGCGCCCAAACCGCCCAAGAACGCCCCAAGGCGGCGCCCATGACGGGGACGAGGAACCGGAAATTCGCGCCTTGTGGCCCAAGAAACCCCCAGGAGACCCCAAGAGGCGCCAAGTAGCGCCCAAGAAGCCCCAAGAGGCCCCCAAGAGTCCCGAAAAAACACCAAAAGAGGCCCCGAAGCCGCCCTTGGCGTGTTAGCCTTTTGGACTTCCACTGCGTCCAAGACGCCCAAGAGGCACCCAAGCCAGTCGAGGATGCCCTCAAGAGGGCTCCAAGACGGCCCACGAGGGGGCCAAGACGGCCCACGAGGCGCCCAAACCGCCCAAGAACGCCCCAAGGCGGCGCCCAAGACGGGGACGAGGAATCGGAAATTCGCGCCTTGTGGCCCAAGAGACCCCCAGGAGACCCCAAGAGGCGCCAAGAAGCGCCCAAGAAGCCTAAAGAGGCCCCATGAGACCCGAAAAAGCACCAAAAGAGGCCCCGAAGCCGCCCCAAGAGGCACCCCAAAAGAGCCCCAATAAGCAAAAAACGTAGATTTTCCATGGGAAAGCTGCTATCCATGGCGTGTTCGCCTCTGGGGCTTCCACTGCGTCCAAGACGGCCCAAGAGGCACCGAAGACGGTCGAGCATGCCCCCAAGAGGTCTCCAAGACGGCCCACGAGGGGGCCAAGACGGCCCGCGAGGCGCCTAAACCGCCCAAGAACGCCCCAAGGCGGCGCCCAAGACGGGGACGAGGAACCGAAGTTTCGAGCGTTTTGGCACAAGAGGCCCCCAGGAGAACCCAAGAGGCGTCAAGAAGCGCCCAAGAAGCCCCAATAGGTCACCAAGAGACCCGCAAAAACCTTCAAAGAGGCCCCGAACACGCCCCAAGGGGCACCCCAATAGAGCCCCAATCAGAAAACAACGTCGATTTCTTATTGGAAAACTGGTATTTTTGGCGTGTTCGCCTTTTGGGCTTCCACTGCGTCCAAGACGGCCCAAGAGGCACCCAAGCCGGTCGAGGATGCCCCCAAGAGGGCTCCAAGACGGCCCACGAGGGGGCCAAGACGGCCCACGAGGCGCCCAAACCGCCCAAGAACTCTCCAAGTCGGCGCCCATGACGGGGACGAGGAACCGAAGATTCGAGCGTTTTGACCCAAGAGGCTCCCAGGAGACCCCAAGAGGCTCCAAGAAGCGCCCAAAAAGCCCCAAGTGCCCCCCAAGAGACCCGAAACAACATCCAAAGAGGCCCCGAAGCAGCCCCCCAGTGGGCCCCCCAAAACGGCCCAAGAGAGCCCCAGGGCGCGCCCAAGAGGGTCGACCAGAGAGCTGGTCCGACTTTCCACACTCTGCACAGGGTTCGTGCCCGGCGGTGCCTCAAGCAGGTGTTGCCATTGGAGTCCTCACTTGCCTGAGACAAATTCCAACAATTTTTTCGCACAGCGATTCCTGTGTCTGTGACACGCTAGAACTTAAGCGCGCGCGAAGCGCGCGTGGTTCTAGTATACATGTATGGTTGCACATATATATATATATATATATATATATATATATAAATGAGGACAAGAGCTGGAGGAAGAGGAAGATGAGGATGATGATGAGGGTGAGGGTGAGGGTGAGGATGAGGATGATGATGATGATGATGATGATGATGATGATGATGATGATGATGATGATGATGATGATGATGATGATGATGATGCTGCTGCTGCTGCTGCTGCTGCTGGGTGGTGGTGGTGGTGGTGGTGGTGGTGGTGGTGGTGGTGGTGGTGGTGGTGGTGATGATGATGATGATGATGATGATGATGATGAGGAGGAGGAGGAGGAGGAGGAGGAGGAGGAGGAGGAGTAGGAGAAGGAGTGGGAGGAGGCAGAGCATGCAGAAGAGGCAGACGAGGAGGCAGAAGAGGCAGAAGAGGAGGAGGATGAGGAGGAGGAGGAGGAGGAGGCAGGATAAGCAAACGGAGGGACGAGGAGGCTCTGTTGGTGGTGGAGTTCGCCATGCAGATCGAGTGTGGAAGATGAGAACTAATTCTTTACGCTTCGCGAGCTCCCATCAGCTGATTGATGGTGCGCGGCTGCTTCCGCGTCACTCGCAATCAAAGCAGTACCCCCATCAGCCCATCCAAGAACAATCACCAGGCGAATCAGGGATGTGCAGCAGCATGCCGTCGAGCTTTCGGGGCCTCTTGGAGGCATCGTGGGGCCATCGTGGGGTCCCAGTAGGGCCCCCTTGGGGCCATTTTGGAGGCCTTTTGGGGCTCTCTTGGGGTCCGCCTCCGCCTCCTCCGCCTCCCCAAAGGGGACGGCGCCACTGACGCCGACGGTGGCTGCCTTTCGGCCGCCTCGTGACCCGGCGTGTCGGCGCCGCCGCTTTCGCAGCGGCGCCGCTCATTTGATTTCCACGGTTTTCTTCCAAGCAGCTAAGACACAGGCATCTTGCTGCTTTGCATGCTGTGTGTGGGTCCTCTTGGGGGTCCACTTTGGGCCATCTTGAATGCCATCAGTCCAAGAAGGGGGGCTCTCTAGTAATGCCCCCCCCGTCTGGGCCTTAACATTGACCTCCTTGGGGCTCTCTTGAGGCGCTCTTGGGCGCTCTTGGAACCGTCTTGGGGCCCTTTTGGGCCCCTTTCTGAACTCTCTTGGGCCATTTTCAGGCCGTCTTGAGGCCCCCATAGCTGATCGGAAGAGAAACGGCGAGAATGCGAAGCACATATTTGTGTTCCTCAGTTTTTGGGAAGGATTTCGGCCTCTCGGAGGACTCTTTGGGAAGTTCCGTGGCCACTTGGAGCCGTCCTGGGGCAGCCTTGACGGCTCTTGGAGGCATGTTGGATGCTGTTTTGAATCATCTTGGGCTATCTTCAGCGCTCTTGAAGGCCATCGTGGGCTATCTGTGACCCTCTTGGCGCCATCTTGATCAATTTTGGACGCTCCAACCCCTCGCGGATACCCCAAAGCGGAAGAAGGGGGTTAGCAGAACGAGCTCCTTAAGGGCTGGTGGGATTTACGACGCCTCGTCCAGATGTTTTGCTACAGCCTCGTCGAACTTGCCGGTCGTTCTGCGAGGACACACCCCGTGTTGCTCACACGCACAGACTTCTTGCGCTGAGACCACTTGCGAGCCCTTCCCCTGCGGATCAAATCGTTGCCGGGGTATCGGACACCTCGATGCTGCAGTCATCTTTCGAATCTTGAAACCCAGTCGGCGTTTCAGAAATGAGACCTGCAGAGGAAAAGTTCACACCTGGCTTCCTACTCGCGCCGCTCCCCACGGGCATCCTCAGTTTCGACACTCCGCCTCTGTATCGTTCTGCAGTTTCCCGTTTGCCATGCCGGGACTTGCAGGTGATCACCTTCCCCGCCTTTCTTCTCGTGTCAAGCCGCTTTCCCTTCTCTTGAGCAGCCCTCTTCCCTCCTGCCTCCTCCCTCATCTCCGCGGACGACCTGTGTGCACCGTACCGCGTTGGCGGCTCCCGAGGCGTCGTCGATCTTCGACCCAGGAGTGGCACGGTTGCTTAGTTTTGAGGCCCTCGTTCCGGAGCGGGGCCTGAAGGGAGTCCAGACACGGTACGGTGCGTGGGCGCCGTTCTCGTACTTTTGCCTCCTCCCTCCCTCCTCTCTCGTCTCACTCCGCGGTTACTCGACATGAATTCTGTTCTCCTTTTCCCGTGGTCGTTTGCAGCGGTGTTCCCGCCCCTCTCGCGCAATTTCCCGCACAGGGTTTCAAACACTGATATATTAGATGCTTGTTCGATTGGAGCGCCCTCGGTGCTAGTTGCTTCTGATGTTTGGTTTAAGTGTTTTATATGCTGTTTAGATGCTGATGGTTTAGATGATTTGTTCAAAATGGTGATATCACAGGAGCGTTGGCCGCATTTCAAGCTCAGCTCTTTGCTCCCGTTGTGCAAGATGGCGCTCTCGCCGTTGCGCGGGCTACTTCTCTGCATCCGATTCCTTTCTCGTCGTTGCCCGCCTCCCTCCTTTCTCCACCTTCCCCTGACCGCTCCTCGCGCTCTCCTCCTCCTCCTGCTCCTGCTACTGCTCCTCCTCCTTCATCCTTCTCCTCTTCCCTTTCTCATCATCCTGTCCATCTGCCACCACCTCCTCCTGCAGTGGACGAAGCCCCCTTTTCTGATTGCGCATCAGACGATGGGTAATTCTGTGGATCAGGGTGCTCCCCAGTAGGACGCCCCGTTCGGCCCAACTGAAACTGGCCCAGCGACGCACCCAACCCCTGCGCCACAGGAGGTCAGAACAGTTGGCAATGATGGGTCAGGACCGGAACATGGGAAGACCCGCCACTTGTCGTGGAAGCTGCGTGAGGGGCTCGCGCGCTGCACGACTCGCAGGGCACCGGCAGACGGGCGAGGGCATGACGGAGGTCCGCGCCGGGCCTCCCGGCAGCCGTGGGAGGGTCCGGCCCAGTCCGAGCCTGGGCAGGGCGCCGCTGCGCTGGGACCCCCAGCAGTCCTCGACCCCTGGCTCCTCCCCAGACCCCCTCGAGTGATGAAAAAATCACGACGGGAGGTTTTCCATTCTTTTTGGCTCCTGGGGGCCCTCACCGGGCCTCGGGAGCGTCAGAAAACGACACAGGACGAAGAGCCGGTCCCTGGGAAGGGGTCCAGACCTCTGGGCCCAGACCCCCGACGTCATGATTTTTTCATGACGTCGACTCCCCGAGGTCTCGACCCATTCCCCGGGACCGGTTTTTCGTCCTGAGTCGTTTTTTGACGGTCCCGAGGGCCTGTAAGGGCCCCCAAAGGCCAAAAATAATGAAAAACCTCCCGTCGTGATTTTTTCATACTCGAGGGGGTCTGGGCTCTGGGGGTCGACGTTGTGAAAAAATCACGACGTCGGGGGTCTGGGCCTCCCTGCACCCCGCGGCGCCGACTCCTCCTGCGCGCGCCTCGCGGGTGGCCGGCGGACGGGGCGCTGCGCCCAGGGCCGCCCCGGCTGCTCCATGCCCCCCTTCCCCGGCTTTTTGCTCCTTCTCTGGTCGCCGTCGGCGCGCCCGCAGCCGCCCGCTTCCGCCCGTCTCGTCCGGGGCCGTCTTCCCTCTGCCAGGGGCGGCCAGGAGGGGGGTGATGACTAGGGGTGGTGGGGGTGGTGGATACCATGGCGGGGGCCATGAGATCTCCCCCGATGTCATGGCGCCTCTTCTTATTCCAATATGTCCCCGGCACACTCCTGGGCTGCCCACATGCCACTGGCCATGATTTGCGCCCCCCCCCTCCTAGAGCCGCCCCTCTCTTGGACGCCCCCGACTCGACTCTGCCCCTCTCCCTCATCCCTCGCCCCCTGTACGTGGCGCCCAGAGTGGTGCAGAGAGCATCTGGGGCCAGAGGATGGTGCCGCACCGCCCATGCATCGGCAGTGCGGCCCGACTCGCAGCCTGATTGACTGCATCCCGACGCCGCCGATGCATCGCCCGTGCGGTGCGATCCTCCCACCCCATCCTCTCGGTCCCGATTCGGGCGCCGCCCCCGTCCCCCTAAGGGGACCACATGAGAACCCCCTACCCCTAAATCTCGCGATTTCCGAGGGGGAGTGGCAGGGTTCGCATGTGGCCCCCTACAGTGCCGTTTTTACTACATGCTCCGCGTGCGGATCATGTATTGAAGATAAAGGGATTTAGTATTGAAAGCAATGATGAGTTTTATGCACTGATGTATTAGTAAAGTAATCATGTATTAAACATCCAATGTGTTAAACATCCTATGCGTTAAAACCTGCCCTGTACCGCAGGGTTCGCACGTGGCCTCCCACCGCATTTCTGCCCCCTCGCCCCTTGTCGTCCCGCTTCCGCTCGGCGAGCCGGCGCCCCCGCCCGGGGCCCTTGGCCGGGGCCCTTCCGCCGGGGCGTCCTGTGCTGGCTGCGTGTGAGGTTCAGTCGGGCCTGTCCCCCTGCAGGGGGATTTTCGACGAAAAACAAAACATCCCCCAAAAATAATCAAAAAATAGTCTGGGGACTATGTTTTGAATGTTTTTAGGCCTTCTTGGGGTATTTTTTGGGTGTTTTTTATTTTTCGTCGAAGATCCCCCTGTAGGGGGACACGCCCGACATAAGTGTAGGAGTGACCATGTCGCCGGAGTGGCACGCGGTGCGGGCCCAAGCCACAGTGCCCTGCCGCTCGGTCGCTCCCCCCTCCGTGGCAGGCACGACCTGATCCTGAACTCCTACCAGGCGCTGATTCTGCTCCTGTTCACGAGGAGTGAGACGCACGATCTGGGCTTCATCCAGAACGCCACGGGCCCGCGCGGGCGCCCCAAACCCCCTTCTCCCTCCCTCCCGCCGCCCCGCCGCCCTCCTCCCCCCAGTGTTGTGGACACGTTCCCCAGCCGTGCAACGACCCAGCGTGCATACTTCCGGGGTACTCCAGATTTCGTAATACAAGGGAGGGGGTCTGGTGGGAGAACCCTCCAAAACATCGTCCCCAGACCCCCCCAGGCCCTCCAAGATAGCCTGGAAGAGACCCCCCGAAATGAGACCCCCCTCCCTTTATTACGAAATCTGGAGTAACGTTCAGAGGGGGATAAGCTCAGAGGGGATGCATCGATCCCCCATGCCAATAGGGCCTTCCAGGACACACTTCCCAGGAACTTGCGGTCTCGCTATGGGGGGCCTATCGCCGATCTAATTATCGTCGATGTACTGCCGATCCCAGTTCGATGTTCCGCCCTTCAGCCAGTCCCCCCACTTCCCCTCAACACCTGGAGCTCAATGGCAGAATCGTCAGGGCACGAACGAGTCCCCCCGTCCCATAGTGGGGTCCAATGCTTCACTCTTGGCGCACCCTGCCCATGAGAGCTGGCTGGGAAAGGGACGAAGAGACACACATACTGAAACGAAGCGGGCAACCAGGCTGAATAGAGAGATCTCTGGGAGCGAGGAGCTTGCCTTGAAGAGCCCAGGCCACCCTTTGGGCCCGTGTAGGGGCGAGGGAAGGAGGAGGAGGCGGAGGAGGAGGAGGAGGAGGAGGAGGAGGAGGAGGAGGAGGAGGACAACGACGACGATGACAGAGCCCTCAACGTCACCCCTTGGAGCCCTCTTGAAGCTCTTTAGGGTGATTCTTGGGTCCTCTCGGGGTCCTCTTGGGGGGCTCTTGGGGCCCTCATGGGGCCCTCGTGGAGCCGTCTCGGCGGTCCCATTGGGAGCCCTGGAGGGCGTGTTGGGGCCACCGTGTAAGCCATCGATCGACAAGGGGGAGGGTTCCAAATCCCACCAGCCCTCCGGGCGTAGGTGGTCTAGGGAGTTTCTTCTTCAACCCTCTTCTTCTCCTTCGGGGAGGGGGTTCCCCCCCCTACCCCTTCCCCTTGACCTGGACGGGAGTTCCCGCGAGGGGTTGGAACGTCCAAGATGGCCCAAGATGGCTCCAAGAGCGTCTCGGAGAGCACAATATGAGCTCCAAGATGGCCCAACATATCCCAAGATGCCTCAATCTGGCTCCCACTATGCTCGAAGAGGCCCGACGACCGCTCCAAGACGGCTCCAAGTGGCCAAGCAGCTCCCCAAGGAGGTCCCGAAGAGGCCAGCGTCCTTCCAAAGCCCAAGGGACATCGCTGTTGTTTTGCTTTCTCGCCTTTTCGCCTCCGATGGCCATCCGAAGCCTCAATGTGGCTCCAAGATGGCCCACGAGGGCCCCATGAGAGACCCAAGAGAGCCCCAAGACGGCCCCACGAGCGCCCAAGAGCGCCCCAAGAGCGCCCCAAGAGCGCCCAGAGAGGCGAGTTTTAGGGCTCCCAAGGGGGGAGGCAAATTAGGTGGCCCTACGCCTTCGATCCATCTCCTCCAAGACGGCGCCAAACGCGCTCCTAAGGCTCCCAAGAGCGCCCTAAGATGGCCCCAAGAGCCCCCCCAAAAGGCCCCCAAGAGGCGCCCAAGATGCCTCCAAAAGGCTCCCAGGCGGCCCCCCAGAGTCTTTAATATGATCCCCGAGGCACCCGAGACGCTCAGAAACGGCCCTTGGCTCGCCAATATACCCCTCCTCCTCCTCCTTTTCCACGGTCTCTTCCTCCTTCCTCCTTGTCGCCCTCCTTCTCCTCCTCCTTCTGCTCCACCGTTCTCTCCCTCTTAGGGTGTCGGAGCGTGTCGGACGGCTTCCTCTGCCCTTTGCTCTTCTGCATGCTCCCCCACTTCCCTGATCGCCTCAACTCCCCTGGACATCGTTTCTGGATGGGCTGGTGGGGAGGGATTTTTTTGTCAACGGCCGCGGGCGAACGCGCAACAGCGGCGTGTCAAAGTCCAGGCGGGCCGCGCGAGGTACTACTTAGACAGACAGAAGCAAACCGAGCACCGGCACTCACAACGGGACCAGGAAGTCGCCGGAGTGGAGGCGGGGCTGCAACGCTGCCCGGCGGTGCAAACGTGCAACAGCAACAGCCGCAAGGGCAAAATGGGGAGGGATACTTTTTTGGTCGCGGGCAGACGCGTGAAGCGGTCGCCGAGAGGGGGGTCCGGGGCACGGGCCAGCCTAAATGGGGAGGGATACTTTTTTTGATTGGCGGCTCACATGGACAGATCCCGGAAGCGGGACGGTCTCGGCTGGGGCACAGGGCGAGATAATTAGCGGCAGCGGCGCATAGGCCGCAGCAGCTGGTGCACGTGCCAGGGACAAAATGACCCTCATTAAGACGATGGGGAGGTCACCACCCACCAAACCACCCCAACCCAACCCGAAGGCCCAAATTTATCCTCGATTTCCAGTGGGGGGTGTCGGGGAACATTGAAAAACACATGGAATCCGTATCCCCCCCAACCCGAAATTCGGGTCAAATTCGGGTCTTCGGGTTGGGTTGGGGTGGTCTGGTAGGTAGTCAGGAGGGATACGCGAAGCGCCAACAATTTGCCTCCCCCCCCCCGGGGGCCATCAAAAAATCGCCTCTCGGGGCGCTCGTGGGCCGATCTTGGGCGGTCTTGGGGCCGTTTTGGGTGCCTCTCGGGCCTCTCTTGGGGCTCTCTTGTCGGGGGAGCGTAAGACCCGGGTTTGCCAGGACTCGGGCTCGCCATCGTTTTTTGACGACCGCGACTCGGATTTTGACGAGTAGGAATTTCGTGGGATGTCTGCAGCGGGAGGCCCCGTCAAAATGCAGGCTCGGCCTCGTCATTTTTTTGACGACCTCGTCGGGGATTTCCGAGTCCCCTGTACCTGGGTCTTACGCCCCCCTGATTTTGGGCCATCTGGGGACAATCTTGAGGTCCCGAAAACGCATCGGAAGCGAAAAGGCAAGAAGGCACACATCGTTGATTTGCCTTGGGTGTTTGAAGCATTTGGGCTCTGGGGGGGGTTCTGAAGGGGATCCGAGAGAGCACTTGGAACCGTCCTGTGGCCCTCGTCGGGTCTCTTGGAGGTATGTCGGAAGTTATCTTGAAGCATCGTCGGCTGCCTCGAGCCATTTTGGAGGCGATTTTGGGCATCGAACGCCCTGTTGGAGCCATCTTGGCCCTTTTTGGACGCTCTAATACGTCCCGGCCCGCCCCTCAAATACTCAGGGATGGGGGGAGGAGGGTACCCCTAATTACCCGTGGTTTTCGGAAGAGGAAGGAAAGGTATCCTCAGACCACCTTGGCCCGAAGGGCTGGTGGGGCCACCGTTCTCCAGGTGGGCAACCCAGCGCATGGTCCCTCAGTCCTCCCTCTGTCCTCCCTGCCCTCTCCCTTTCTTCTCGTCCCTCCCTCCCTCCCTTGGCTCGCCAAGATGCCCCTCCTCCTCCTCCTCCTCCTCCTCCTCCTCCTCCTCCTCCTCCTCCTCCTCCTCCTCCTCCTCCTCCTCCTCCTCCCCCTCCTCTCCTCTCTTCTCGTCCCTCCCTCCCTCCTTCCCTCCCTCTCTGGCTCATGCCTCTGGAGTCCGTGGTGCTCCTCGCCCCTTCCCCCCCGGGGCCTGCAGCCCCTTGGGCACTCCTGCGCCCGTCGGCGCGCCTCTCCGCGCCGCTTTCGGCCGACACAGCCAACTCATCTTCCTCGGTGCCTGGCCGCCGTCTGTGACTGCGGATGTCCTGATTTTTTATACAAGAAGTGATATTCCTTCATTCATACATATATATATATATATATATAGAGAGATACGGCCGTATTTTCTATCATTGCGAGTGCCCCTCCGCAGTGTCTCCCATGCCCCCCGCTTCTCCTCCGGAGTACCCTTGTGCGTTATTGTTTAAGTGGCCCTTTGGGCCACACGGGGTTCTCCGCACAGCGCCGTTTCCGCTTCTTGTCCTCCTCCTCCTCCTGCGCTCCTCCTGGCTGCCCTCCGGCAGCTGCCATTTAGTGTAGACGTCGTCAGTACAGGCCTCGGAACAAATTAGCGAACACATACCACATTCATCCGTCAACGCCTCCCCCTCCCCCCAATGTTCAAAGTTGGCGGTGGGTCTGATGAGATGCACTTCGACCGCAGTCTCCCTCGCGCGTGCCAACATTGAGTTTGGGGGGGAGGGGGGGTGTTCAGTAATTGTTTCCCTCTACCGTATGTCTCTTGTTCATGCTGGCTTCAAATGCCCTTTTGAGGGCACGGCGGATTTCAAAATACGTCAGACGCCTCCGCGTCGTCTTCCTCGGCGAGCTTCCGGTGGATCCGGGGCGCGCGGTTGTCACTTCAAGTGGTCGTGATACGCAGAAAAGAACAGCCCATGTTCCCTCCCCAGACCTCCTGGCGACTCCAAGAAATGACGCCGTGTTTTTATGCTGTATTGCTTTTGACCCCGTGTTTGTCGTTGTGGTTGGCGTTATATGTGTGTGTGTGCGCGTGTGCGCGTGTGTTGGTGTGTGTGTGTGTGTGTTCTGCGTTGTGTCTTGCGTTTGTATGGGTGCGCGCGCGCGCCCGTGTGTGTGTGTGTGTGTGTGTGGGGCAGGCATGTGAGTTCGCGTTTGTGTGTGAGTGCGTGTTCGTGTGTGTGTGTGTGTGTGTGTGTGTATGTGTGTGTGTGTGCGTGTGTGTTTGAGAGTGTGTGTGTGTGGTTGTACGTGTGATCCGCGCCTTGTGGGTCCGCCCCACCACCGCCTACCGCTGGCTTTCCGTGTACCACTCGCCCCCCTGCGGTGCTTCCGCCGTCTCCCTCATGTTCTTGTCCGCTGACCCTGCGTTTTCCCTCCTGCCTTGTCACTCGCCTTTCGCGGTCTCGCCTTTGCCGCCGACACTGCGCCTCGTCTTGTCTCGCCTGCACTGTAGGCACTGGCCTTCCGCTTCCTCCTCGTCTTTCCCCGCGTCTTCCCACCGGCTTCCCTGTTCCGAGTTTGCGCATTTCACGATTGATCCCCCGTGGGTGGATCCTTGTCCCTGGCTTCTGAGTGGGCTGGTCGCGCGCGTTTCCCGCTTTCCGCTCTTCGGCCTTCTTCGCCTCGGCGTTGCGCGCGAGGCCGCGACGCCAAAAAGTGTGAGTGTGTGTGTAGCGTGCTTCTTCTCCGGGGGTCATGATAAGAGCGGTTCAACATGAAATACCCGTACCAGGGAAGGTTGCGAAGAAATTCAGTGGGTTGAGTTATCGGTCTCAGCTTTTTGTTCTTAAGGGCTGGTGCGCAGGCGGGTCTCCTGACTTGTGGCGCACGGCAACGTCTCTCGCACGAGGGCCCTGCAATCAATCTGTCCGGCCCTGCTATCAATCTGTCCGGCTCTGCTCCCCAAGGCCTTCCAGTCCTTATGTGTTACTCTCTATCTCTCTCTCTCTTCCTTTGTTAGGGGAACAAAAAGTGACATAAACATAATTAGCCTGACGAAGGACCCAACCATGTGCAGGTGTGAATGCCGCAGTTGACACTACCAATTTCGGTGGGGCTCCCTATAGGGCCAAGAAACGTGTGAAGGGGATGGGTGTGCGGGACGCATGCGGGCGGCAGCACTGGGGCCTTCGGTGGAGCTCCCTATGGGGCCACGAAGCGTGTGAGGGAGTTGACGAAATTGGTGTGGCTGACGCATGCGGGCGCGGGCACTGGGGCCTTCGGTGGAGCTCCCTATGGGACCACGAAACGTTTGAGGGGTGTGCCGAAATGGGTGTGGCTGACGCATGCGGGCGCGGGCACTGGGGCCTTCGGTGGAGCTCCCTATGGGCCACGAAACGTGTGAGGGGTGTGCCGAAATGGGTGTGGCTGACGCATGCGGGCGCGGGCACTGGGGCCTTCGGTGGAGCTCCCTATGGGGCCACGAAACGTGTGAGGGGTGTGCCGAAATGGGTGTGGGTGACGCATGCGGGCGCGGGCACTGGGGCCTTCGGTGGAGCTCCCTATGGAGCACGAAATGGGTGTGGGTGACGCATGCGGGCGCGGGCACTGGGGCCTTCGGTGGAGCTCCCTATGGGCCACGAAGCGTGTGAGGGGTGTGCCGAAATGGGTGTGGCTGACGCATGCGGGCGCGGGCACTGGGGCCTTCGGTGGAGCTCCCCATGGAGCCACGAAACGTGTGAGGGGTGTGCCGAATGGGTGTGGCTGACGCATGCGGGCGCGGGCACTGGGGCCTTCGGTGGAGCTCCCTATGGAGCCACGAAACGTGTGAGGGGTGTGCCGAAATGGGTGTGGGTGACGCATGCGGGCGCGGGCACTGGGGCCTTCGGTGGAGCTCCCTATGGAGCCACGAAACGTGTGAGGGGTGTGCCGAAATGGGTGTGGGTGACGCATGCGGGCGCGGGCACTGGGGCCTTCGGTGGAGCTCCCTATGGAGCCACGAAACGTGTGAGGGGTGTGCCGAAATGGGTGTGGGTGACGCATGCGGGCGCGGGCACTGGGGCCTTCGGTGGAGCTCCCTATGGGCCACGAAACGTGTGAGGGGTGTGCCGAAATGGGTGTGGGTGACGCATGCGGGCGCGGGCACTGGGGCCTTCGGTGGAGCTCCCTATGGAGCCACGAAACGTGTGAGGGGTGTGCCGAAATGGGTGTGGGTGACGCATGCGGGCGGCAGCACTGGGGCCTTCGGTGGAGCTCCCTATGTGGCCACGAAACGTGTGAGGGGTGTGCCGAATTGGTGTGGCTGACGCATGCGGGCGGCAGCACTGGGGCCTTCGGTGGAGTTCCCTATGGAGCCACGAAACGTGTGAGGGGTGTGCCGAAATGGGTGTGGGTGACGCATGCGGGCGCGGGCACTGGGGCCTTCGGTGGAGCTCCCTATGGAGCCACGAAACGTGTGAGGGGTGTGCCGAAATGGGTGTGGGTGACGCATGCGGGCGCGGGCACTGGGGCCTTCGGTGGAGCTCCCTATGGAGCCACGAAACGTGTGAGGGGTGTGCCGAAATGGGTGTGGGTGACGCATGCGGGCGCGGGCACTGGGGCCTTCGGTGGAGCTCCCTATGGAGCCACGAAACGTGTGAGGGGTGTGCCGAAATGGGTGTGGGTGACGCATGCGGGCGCGGGCACTGGGGCCTTCGGTGGAGCTCCCTATGGAGCCACGAAACGTGTGAGGGGTGTGCCGACATGGGTGTGGGTGACGCATGCGGGCGCGGGCACTGGGGCCTTCGGTGGAGCTCCCTATGGAGCCACGAAGCGTGTGAGGGGTGTGCCGAAATGGGTGTGGGTGACGCATGCGGGCGCGGGCACTGGGGCCTTCGGTGGAGCTCCCTATGGAGCCACGAAACGTGTGAGGGGTGTGCCGAAATGGGTGTGGGTGACGCATGCGGGCGCGGGCACTGGGGCCTTCGGTGGAGCTCCCTATGGAGCCACGAAACGGTGTACTGGGTGGTGAAGGGAGGAGAGAGAGGAGGAGAGGAGAGGGAGGAGAGGAGGAGAGGAGAGGAGAGGAGAGGAGGAGGAGGAGAGGAACGCGGGGCACCGTCTCTTCAAAACGAGGACCCAACACCACAGGATGGTTGGGAAAAACTCGGAGGTCCGCGCGGATTTCCTGGATCGGCGCTGGGGCCCCCTGGCGGCGCCTCCGGCGCCGCCCCTGGCGCGCTCCGCGCGCCAGGGAGGGGGGTCCAGCGCCGATCCGAGAAATCCGCGCGGACCTCCGAGTTTTTATGTTTGTGCCACTTTTTGTTCCCCTATTTGCTTTTTCCCTACCTCTCTCTGCGGCGGCGCTGCTTGGCTCGCAACGCCTCGCCGACCGCCCTCCGCATGAGGTCTTCGTGCGGTGGAGGCCGCCACGACGGGGGAGGCGTCGCGCCAGACAGCCACGGGGGCTCGTCGCACGCGGCGTCTGCCTCGCGGCGCCTAGACGGATCCCGTCCGCCTCAGTGTCCGTCTCGCCTTGTGTCTCTCTTTTTTTGCTGTTGTTGCTCTCTCTCTCTCTCTTTCTCTCTCTGTCTGTCTCTCTCTCTCTATATTTCTCCCCCTTCTCTCCCCGTCTTGGGTACCGCCTCCGCGTGGTGTAATTGGGAACGATTCGGTGAGGTCACCGCCTTTTCTGCGGCTCATTCTTTTTGAGTTCCAGAGGCTCCAGACGGCATGCCCCTCATATCAAGATGCCGGCCACTTTGCAAGTAGGAGCCTCGCCGCAAGTCGAGTCAAAACCTCCCTCCTCTCTCCTCCCTCCCTCCCTCCCTCCTCCCTCGACGCCTATGTGGAGGCTTGGACCAGACTATGGTGAAGAAGCTGCTAGGACCGTTGCCGCATCCTCTCTACCTGCACGGCTCTCACGCTCGGCGCCAGAAGCACGGAGGGTGTGATCGTTATTGCTGGGGTACTCCGCTGCCGCAGGGGATTTCGGAGGATCTGTGTCGCTTGATCTGCGGGGGCTCTGGGTGTGGCGCTCCCAGGGTCCAATCGCTCCGATCGATCCGCTTCGACGCCCGTTTCGGCCGGCCCGATCCGCTTCGGTTCCGATGCTCTGACGATCGCCGGTGGCCCGATGCTCGCATGGCGCTGCTGTGTGCATCCTTGCTGTGCCGATCCGGTTCGATTTCGATCCTGTGCCAGATGCGCACGTCGATCCGATCCTCACCCCGATTCGATGCTGACTGATCCTGCTCGAGGGCATCTCTGAGCGTCTCGGGGACCTGCGCATCCTCGGCGGATCGGTTCTCCAGGTTCGGGCAGGCAGCGGGAGGCAGAGGCCGGCACGTGCATCGGCGGGTAATTAGAGGGACCGCGCAGGCAAGGCGTGCACGCAATCGTGCACTTGTACGGTAATTATCCAGGAGGGGGAAAAAAACACACACAATTAATCGTCGATTCCCCCGAAAATATGGGAGAATATGGGAAGTGGGGGGGAAGGCAAAAACCCAGACATGGGAAAATATGGGGAATCCAGTTATCTGCGGCTGTTTCTTTGTGCGTCCCAGGGCCTCTTCAGGTATGCGGCCAGGGCATTCGAAGGCATATAATCGAAGCAGCCTCGAGGAGCAGCTCTGGTGACCAGTGAACGGCGCTCATGCGGCCACGGTAAGCGAGAACAGGCAGCAACCTCAGCCATGAGGGTACGGGACTGCATGCTGAATCAGTTCATCGTGTGCAGGTCACACGGGCAGCGACAGTGCAGGCGACGGCGCGCAAACACACGCGGAGGCTTGGGCATACAGACGCGCGAGCAGCAGTGGGCGAGCAATTGCTACATCTGGTTCGGGGGTTAAGAGCAATCCCAGCTTTGGAGGGGACTCCTGGTGCTCTTGTGCTCTCCACGTCCAGGCTTTCCAGCTTTGAGAGCTGCTCGTTTTGGGTGTCTCACTGGTGTCGGTGGCCCTCGGGAAGGGGGCTCATGTTCTTGACGCGCGTCCTTGTCGTCACGATTCGACTGGCAGCCTGGCAGCACGCGGAGATAGATGTCACTCCAGATTTCGTGATAGAGGGAGGGGGGTCTCATTTCGGGGGGGGGGCTCTCTTCCAGGCTATCTTGGAGGGCCTGGGGGGTCTGGGGACGATGTTTTGGAGGGTTCTCCCACGGGGGAGGTCTGAAATGGCTTGTTTTGGAGGGTCCAGACCCCTTCCCTTTTCATGACGAAATCTGGAGTACTCGTGCACAGGCTGGGCGACTGCAAGTACCAAGCACAGGAAAGCCTTCGCTTCCTGTGGTGCGCTCCAGGAAGGGGGCCCCGCCTCCGAGGGCTCGAGAGGTGGGCACCTCTCCTTCGGCAGGAGGCGCTCCTGCGGGCTCCGATTGAAACCAGTTGCGAATGTGTTTCAGTTGCGCCGCGAATTGGTAGGAGTTTTGATGAGCCCTCCGCTGAACTTCCAGAGCTCGCTGCATCAGGGGAGCAGCGCTGTAAAAAGGAAGGCCAGGGTGGCTCAGCCGGCGGAAGCAGAAGGAAAGCCTTCGCTTCCTTTGGTGCGCTCCAGGAAGGGGCCCCGCCTTCGAGGGCTCGAGGGGTGGGCACCTCTCCTTCGGCGGAAGGCAGCGGAAGGCCAGGGTGGCCCAGCCGGCGGAGGTAGAACCAGGGCGGGGCTCTACCGGCGGCAGCCGGCGGCAGGCCGCGGGAGCAGGAAGCCTTCCCCAAGAGATGCTACTTTGGTTCAGGTCTTCCAGAACATGACGCACGAACAACACACACCCATACCCATAAGGGGGTCGTTGGGAGGAGGACTGGATATGGGTATGGGTGCGGGTTGTCAGACCCTAGGGAACGCTCCCTTTCGAGCGGGGACCCCCATCCGACAACACGCACCCATAGCCCTTTCCGACCCCCTTATGGGTATGGGTGTGTGTTGTTGGTTCGTCAGAACAGGCCGTATGCACAGAGGGACGGGTAGCCTCGTGGAAGCCGATTCATGGAGAGGAAGCATGCTGCCACATAATTTCCAGATGTCGAAACATGCCTCAAACATGCTTCGAGTCCGCAAACGCATGCTTGAGGCACTCTTTGTGGCACAAAAGGTGGCCAGCAGCGTCAAACGAGACATGCGTGTTGTGGTGGCATGCAGGCGCTGGCACACCGAGGCGAGCGCCAGCACGCTCACGAGGGCAAGCCCGGGCCCGGCGGGCGGGGGGGGCGGCCACGAGGCCAAGAGTCTGCGGCTGGCCTCGAGGGCGGGACGGAGCTCGGGGGCGAGAGGCCCCGAGGACGTCTGGGGCCCCGTCCGCCGCCCGGCGGCGACCACCGGGGGGGGCGCGGCGCGGGAGGGGCGGCCTCGGAAGGAGGCGTGGGGGGCCTCCTCGGGAGCCTCTGTGGCCCTCGAGGCCTGCTCCGAGGGGGGGACCCACACAGGACCCCACCGCCTGGAGGATCGATTCGTCGGGGACCTCCACGGGCGGTGGATCCGGGTATGCTCGGGCCCCCCGGGGGCAAACCTCCACCGCCCGCCTGGGGCACCAGGACGTCGGTTCCCCGGCGGTGGGTCTGGAGAGATCCCCGCCGCGCCCCTGCCTTCTCAGAAGCCCCTCCCCCTTCCCAAGCAGGCTTCAGGAGGGGAAAAAACACACAGACGCAATTAATCTTCGATCCCCCAGAAAATATAGGAAAATATGGGAAGTGGTGGGGAAGACAGAAACTCAGAAAAAAGGGAAAATATGGGGAATCTCTTTATTTGTGTGTATTTATTTGTGTGTCCTGGGGCCCTTTCACTCCCCCTTCCCAGGCAGGCTGCCCCCCCTCGCGCCGCCCCCCTGGTGGTCGCCGCCAAGCTCGGCGAGAGGCGAGTCAGGAGGATGCCAGGGTTAAAGTTAAATTACAGACGGGGCCTTCAAGGCGCAGGGGGTGACCCTAACCAAAACACGGACAGGGCCAGACGGGACCAGAGTTCCCGAAAGAAGGTGAGTCCCCAAAGAGCACCGAGGGCCGCGCGTGCCTACCCACTACAGGGAGCAACAGGCGCGAGCCTCACCGATGCTTATCCATCCGTCCGCCGCTGCCATCTGCCTGGAGCTCCCCGAGGGGCCATGGGCCGGCGGCGACGGCGAGGCCGTCTCGGGCGGCTTTCCTGAGGTCGGAGTCGCACTTTCGGGCAGGCATGGGACGGAGACGACTCGCTCCAGAGCCTTCTGGGGCGCCACCGAAGTGTCTCGAGCGTGCTGAGCCGGCCACGGCGCCCGGTGCGTCTTCCGGGCCCGCGCGCTCTGGGAGATTCTGTTTCCTCTCGATCCGAATCCATCTTCGTCGTCCAGCCGTCGATTTCACATCTGCAGCTTAGGAGCTGCCTGGATCGCCTGGCCGGCCTTCCCGAGGCCAGAGTCGCAGTGGAAAGTCGCAAGTGGCAGGCGGGCTGGGGCCGGAGAGCGCCCGGGAGCCGCCCCGCCCAGCCACGCTCTCGATCTCGAAGTACAAGATCCTGTCGAAGAGCGGCGACGCGAAGACCATCGAGGACCCGCCCGCTCTCCCCCTGCCTCGTCTTCGTCCTCGACTCCTTGCTTGGCGCACGGGCACCCTGAGCTGCGAAGCGCGAGCACTGCGTGCTTGCGCGGCATCTCAGGAGCTGCGCGCGGCAGCTTCTCGCAGGGATCGACCCAAACCGCACCCTCGAAACCACGACGCTGTGGCAGGGTCGCGTCGTGTCGACGCGGCGACGACCCCTGCGCGGGTACTTCGGGTTGAAAGCCGACGGTGGCCTGGGCGCTATCGGAAAGTTGCGACCGCTCAAAGTTGAGCGCTCTGCACGGTGTCGGGAACCAATCGGCAAGGCGTCACGATGCGAACCTGCCGAACGAGGCATTCCCCCAAGCAGCGTTCGGTGCACTTCCGCTGTGTCGCGATGGACCCCTCGATGGGCCCGCGTACCGCTGGCGAGGCAAAATGACGTCGGTTCCAATTTCGTGTTGGTCGACCCCTGGGTGACTGACCCCCCCCCCGCTCACCATTGTCGCACTCCTCCGCCTCCCTTCTTCCTCTCTCGTGCTCCCGCTCCCCCCCCCCTCCTCCTTCCCTCTGCGCTTTCGCACGACCGACGCAGCGCTTTCCCTCGCTGCCCCTTGCAGTGAAGCGAGGGCACGACATGGGCAGCAGGCCTTGCCACGGCTTTCACCCCAACAGGAAGAAGCCCAGCGGCGCCGCAGCTGGCGCCACAGAGGAGGAGGACGAAGCCGACGACGACGAGGAGAAGAAACAGAGGAACACGAGAAGGAAAGGGATGAGGAGCGAGGGGAGGAGAAGGAGGAGGAGGAGGAGGAGGAGGAGGAGGAGGAGGAGGAGGAGGAGGAGGAGGAGGAGGAGGAGG